GGAATTAAAAGATATAACAAAGTTTGATGATGATAGGGGGCATACCAACACACGACGCGAGACCATATATATATATATATATATATTCTTATAATATGTTGGGTCACACGTATACCTGCGTGTAATATATTACGCACACACACACACACAAAAAAAAAACGCACATTTTCGTTGCTATAAGCAAAAAGGCTTCGACGTGTGGGTAGACACGTGTTTTTCCCACAGCGGCGTGCATATTTTGCAAGGATACACAGGGTCCGTTTCAGAGTGGCGGGGGCGAAAGGTAGCAGAAGACATCTCGCACACAAGGTTGCCTGGCGGCGTCTTATCAGCGTCCCTGTACCCCGAGTGTAAGAAGAGCCGGATGTTTACGTGGTTTGAGATTTCCTGTACTGTAGCGGGTCGGCGACTGAATGACAGACAGAGATGGAGAGATTTGCGGCATGCAGAAACAGAGTTGTGAACACCACTGTGGTCATAGTATTGATGCTCAAAACCTAAACTCTTCAACCTTGAGGGGACAAGTATGTGAGCCTGTTATCGATAGGGCTCTTTATATAAGAGGTTCTTCCAGCGCGTTCTTCAGACTAAAGGTCGTTGCAAAGGGACTACATTTTGCAAAGGGTCTCTTTTTGGGGGATCCCCCTTGAAATAAATTTTTGGGTTCTTCAAATTGTTTTTTTGTTCAACTGGAGCTCTCAGTTAGGGTCTGTAGAATTGCAAAATAGGGTTCAGTATGCCGGAAACTCCCACATGCACCTGTGCTGTGCAGTGGTACCCTCAACCGACCTGTGGCATGGATACAGCTGGATCTTTTGGACAGATGGCCAAGGATACCCACCCTGTATCTCGAAGCAAATCCGGAAAATTGAATGCCACTGCTGCAGGATACATGCCTGAATCCTATCCCAGACCATCGCGAGGTGCAGTTTCAGCCTTGTCCGTTGCCAGCAGGGGCCTCAGAACAAACGGAAGCTCGGGCTTGCCCAAAAGATTCCATACCCCGAGTTTGTCGTGCATGTTAGAAGTTGAGCTGCCTGTTGAAGGTTATCCGCAGCTGCACATGTGCCATAGTTTTCTCGCCTTACCTCATGGCATGCAGGCTGGAGCAGTACAGTCCGATACAGTATGATAGGATCATGCCACCCTGAAATTCATGGACAAGACTGCCCTGCGATTTGATGCGGAGGATTTCGTTCTATCCCAAAGTCTTCGCATGGTAACGAGGGAAGTAGGCCAAAAACCGCCGCAAATAAGCATCACAGGCCGCAAACCGAAGCCGAAACCAGAAACTCCAGGCCACCTTGGAAAAGATCCCTCGTGTGAAAGGTGAGCGGGTCCAGGGCGCGGCATCCCTGGCGATGGACACTCGGTGAAAACCTTCTGGGTTCAGCAGTTCAGCAGAGGAACTGTTTGAAGGTTTCCGGACAGGATGTTTCAAGTTTTCCCGGAAAGTTCTTGGAGGATACTGTAGGATTCTTCTCATAACGGCATCTATCCGAATGCTCCTCTCGCTGCGTAGAGGCTGCTGGAGGGGGGCTGCGGGGCTTCGAGATCTAACTGGGCGTTGAGGTTTCTGCTGTGCAATCGCTTGCAATTCCAAGGCTGAGCTTGAAACAGGAGTGCGGATAAAGAAGCAGAACGAAAGTGCCCTTGCAACGGCCCTCTCACTCATTCAGTTGATGTGGCAATAAGGTCAATACCGATTCAAAGGGGACGGGCCATGACTGCAACGGAAACAAAAGTCGTACTAATCATGAAGAGGGCAAATGCAGCAAAGGCTATGAGCGGTGGTGATGTAGGAAGCATAGACATAAGTACCAAGATCCAACAATTGCAAAGATACCAGTGCTTGATAAGGGCCTTGATGCGAATTCTCCACCCCCTGCGCTTTGTTGCGCACACACACACACACACGTGGAAGGCATTGCGTAGAAAAGGTGAGCTGGGAAGCTAGTGAGGGTTGCAAGGGCGAGCTCAGTGGATCTGATTGTGGCGACAGCGCATGCTATCGCATGTGCAGATAATGTAGCAAGGCAGCTCGAAGAACAGCTTTTATTGTTCGCCGCTTTTGAGGATCCTTGCAGATTGTGGAGATTCGTGGCGATGTTCGCCTCTGGCCTTTTCTTGGTGCCTTGTTCAGTGGGCTGGGGGCTGCAGGCTTGCAGTTCAGCTTTCGCAAATCGCAGCATGCTTTGTTTATACAGCTTGTTTGTAGGCTTGTTGTTGAGGGGGTGTTACTTTTTTGGTTGCACAAGGTCTTGTACTGTTCTGTGAAAGAGCTTATAGGCTAGGTTCTTGAGGGCTGAGTGCCGGGTTTTGTCCTAAGACTGGGATTCGCCTCGCAAGCTCACGCGGGATATCACCTGCCAAGGTCTAGACTATGCTGCGAACACTCTTTGCCCCGGTATCCTTCCGTTCTTAATGGGCAGCATGTAGGGCTTCGTTGCGAAGTCTGCTCGTCGCTGAGAGGAACCTAGTTCTGCACGAACTCAGAGCCACATGCGCAGAATTGCAAAACCAGGCATCAGATAGACTGCTGAAGCTGTGATTCGTCCTTGGTGCACTCCTGTTCTGTTCGAAACTGCCCCTGTCCGGCACACGGTGTCCAGCATCGGTAAAGTAAAGATTGGAGGCGGCAGAAGAGTCCGCAGTGACTTTTCGACCAGCTTCTGTTTCGGGCAGAAGGCAGAGCGAAGTGCTGTTTCCTGCTACTGTTGCCTGACGTTTGTCTCATGAGGTGCTCTTCTCACTGAACTTCTGGAACTTGCCGCACCTTGGCTTCCCATCAAACGAAGTGACCCCGGCCCTCATCATCCCTGATCCTATGCGGGTCTGTGGAAAACCTGTTCAGGGCTGAGGTGTCCGCCATATTCATCATGTCTAAGTTGCTCATAGGTTACCATCCTTTCTGCAAGCTCTTCGTCCCGCGCTCACTGCGTTAAACGCCTTGGGCTTTGGAGCTTTCAGGGGCGAGCAGTCAGAACAATGCTGTCTAGTTGGCATGTTCACCTGATTTTCTGAGGTTGGAGGGTCATCGGGTGTCTCGAAACATTCAGGGACGGATAGATCCGAATCGGACCTTCTTAGACATACTGAAAACGAATGAAAAGGCAGCAGGAGACTTCGGTTGGCTCCAGCCCGGACTATCTTAGACAAATTGAAAACGAACGAAAAGGCAGATATGCCCTTTTGCAAATTGCAGTCCGCCCAGAGTCTTCACAAAACGAGTGCAACACGCACCATCGCAGGGCAATGTTTGCCTTCCTGTCCAACACCGGCTCCCTAACGATGCTGGCATCGTTCGTCTACCTGCTCCTCGGCCTCACACAAACGCAGCTGCAGCAGATTTTTGTAGATGCAGGAGACTAAGCCAAACAAATCCAGCGAGTAAGTACGCAAATGCACACACACCCCTCACTTGAACAGTCATCTAGTTGGCAAGCTACGTGTATTTATGTATACGGTATTCATAAATCACATACATACGTGTGTATATTGCACATGCGTTTACATGTGGTGCTCAGAGGACCCCCCGCAATGACTTCGGTGCGCGCCTTATGTCCCGAAAAAAACTTGGTACTCGGAGGTGGCTGCAGTTCAAAATGCTCCAGCTGGGGCTTGGGCACTTGGATCCCTGAGATATACGATCAGTAGGCAACAACTTCTTCCACATGCTCTGATGTTTGGGGTCGGGGTGCTTGCTCGGGGCGAGAAAATGCAAAGACTGTCAATAAGATCGCTCTGCAAGGAGTGGCTGGCGAGCCTCTCGGCAAAATAAAGTGGATTTGCAGGTTGCGTTTATATGACTTCTAAGAGGCTTACGCATCTCGGAGGTGCTTGGAGTTCCGAAAGGGAGGAAGGCAGAGGGAGAGAGAGAGAGAGCAAGGCACATAAATAAATAAATAAATATATATATATATATGTGTGTGTGTCGTTATATGTCTTTGAGGTTTTGGCGCCAGGAGACATGTACCTCTAATCACAAGCCTGAGGTGGCAAAACCTGGGGCAACCTGCCTCCTTTATGTTTCTCATGTTGCCCAAACAAGATGCTAGGCGCACAAAGAAAGAAGTGTCCTTCTCGGCCCGCGGCCCAAATTTTTGTTCGCTGTTGGTATGCTTCTCGTGCTTACTACTGTCGTCAGAGCCTCATGGTTGGAATGCCAGCTACGGTGACCGTCAGTAGTAGGTTCTTCCTTGAGCAAGTCTTCTCCCTCTGCATAGAGTCATCGTGCTAGTGCTGACTCCGATATCCGAGGCATTCCTCGCCCCGGACTCAGACGCTCCCAGAAGAGGCGGCAGCTGACATGTTTCCAGCTGGTGCTTCCTCGCAGTGGTCGACACCTGCTGCAGCAGTGTCTCTAAGGAGCAGATTTCACAGAATCTTGGCTGTTCCATCATGAGTGATGCCTGTGATCTTGCATGCTGGCTGCGCATGGACTTGGAATGTTTGTCAAGTCTCAGTCGTTGAATTCTAGCTGTGGGTAGTGCGAAAATTGGATTGCCACGAATTCGAGTCGCAGTGATTTGTGCTCTCCCAAGGCGGCGTAAGTTGCCCTATGCCATTGCCTATGTGACAGGCTTGCTTGGAACACTCTGGTTTACGCTCCTTAGCTACGGACTTGAGAAGACAATGCTAAAGCCCTTTAAATGATTGCTTTCGTGGCTGAGCAGCAGGGCGACATAGTTTCTTCCTGGCGTCCATATCCGTGTCATTTTTTTTGCCTGTAGACGCTTGAGGTTGATTCGACCGAGACACCTCTTGACCGCCTTCTTTGGAGATCCTCGGCATGCTATTTTGTTCCCTTGCGGCACAGCCAAATCCTAAAGATGTGCCTCAGGTCGTGCAGCTGGTCTCGCTTCTGTATTTCATTTGTGCACACTTCCCTGGCGGCACTGCCACGTCTCGAGGCTGCAGATTATCAGCAGAGTATACTCCGTCAGCCGGCCGCGAGACAAAGCACTGTTTCGCATTCTTGTCACATGGGTGGTTGTCAAAATTAGGGTCCCTTTGGGGTACCCTAAATAATAGGTGCCGTATTATAATAAGGACCCAAAAAGGGACCATAATTTTGACAACTACCCACATCCTGAGGCTTAACATGCTCGGACGCTTTGGAGGGAGATCTGCAAGCAGCATGCCGGCACATCACTGCAGACCGAGCTCCCATGCTGTCTGAGGAGAGGAGGTCGAGCAAAGTCTGAGGAGAGGAGGTCGAGCAAAGCACGTCTGAGACGAAAAGATGACACATAGCTCTGAGCCTGAGCTTTGGCTAAGGATCTCTCATCGTCGGCTGAGCCTCTCAACATGGGAGACGTGCGCAGGTCTGCAAAAAACAGCGTCAAGCGGTGAGCACATTGTCCATTGATAGCGCGAGGAAGAGGGAGAGACAGGGAGGACAAGGAAGGGAGAGATGCCGAGGGCAGGGTTCTGACAGGGTGCTAGGACGCACACCTTCAAACAAGGTGTTTTTTGAGGGAGCCCGTTCTGTTCCGAATTGTCTCAGGCAGAAATACAGCAACTTGTCCTGTACCATCACCACATCCAAAAGTCTTTCTTAACTCGCCTGTCGCTGTCAGCTGTGACCCTATCCTGTCCTGTCAAAGCTGTTTGGCTTACCACGACGCATAGCGGGCATATCTCTCTTGAGCTGCTTGGCCAAGTAGGATGGCACGCCGCAGTGCTGGTGTGATCGCACATCGCTCAGCTGCTCGATGTGTCATTCACATGACTCGGCTTTCCCCTGTCGATGCTGCGGAAAGAACAAGTGAGACCAGTGGATGGCACTTTTCAATGGTTTGAGGTCATGGCTTATGTTTGCGTTCATTTGCACCAAGAAGGGTGTTTCGGTGCAGGCGGGTATAGCGGTCTTGTGTCGAGTTTGGGGTCAAAGGTTCACGGGGTTGACCTGAGCATCGTTGACCTCAGCAAACTGTTGCACTTACGGCCGGCCTGCCTTGTGACTTTGCAAGAGCAGATCGGCGTGCTCCTTTATTGCAATGCCATGCTGCAGAAGACCGAGAATCTGGGCCCGTGATCGGAACTGAACTCCACGGAGATGTTTGCGGATGCGCATTGCTCAAGCTCAGGCATGTGCCCTCGCTGCCGCCGGCATGCTGCAGCACGGACGCAAGCCTCTGGATAAACCAAACGGCTGCCGTAAACCGATCGGTCAAGAAGCTTTAGATAGTGGACATGCCAGATATGCCTCCGAAATGTGTCTCTTGCCGTCACTCCGCGCACCCGTGCACAGACCAAGCCAAACCACAAAGTATGCCCGGGGGTCAGTCACAGCAATGCCTTGAGCTGCTTGAGAGATTACAGATGGACATCATATGACGATCCGAGTCATACTGTCATAGTGCTACTTCCAAACTATGGCTCGGTGGATCAGATTTCTCCCGACTCTGGATGATGCTGAGCCGTGTAGCGGAGAATAGTGGACAAGATTGATATCAAAACGCCCTTCGAGCAAGCCGCGGCTTCAGGGCCTCACTGTGCTTCGTGGCTCCCAGCAGCCCCCTCGCAGCTGCTCCGCGAACGGAAGGAGCGGGCGGGAGCCGGATTTGCACATTCTTCACGTTCTAAGTAATCTGTCGAAGCATGGGGACTCTTGATTTTGGCTCGGACAATCTGAAATTCGAGATTTCCTCTACAAAGCGACCTTGTTGTAAACGGTGGAAGGTGGAAGACATGGCATACGTTGGCATACAGCTTTCGGCTTACAGTCTTGAGCCTACCACGGACTTCATCAATATAGAACCCTGAGTTCAAGTCTTTGCGTGCCCGGAGCCTGCAGGAGGCGTCGTCCGTCTGCAGCCTCGTTTCGAGGGCAGCTGCAGTACCTTCGCCTCCGCTGTGGGCGCAGCTGGATTGCTTGCGCCGGTCCTGACAGAGTGGATTTTTGGGTCAACGGGTGTTGTTCATCAATTACCCGAGAGGTGTGGTAAGCCATGAAGGACTGACTACCTTTGAAGTCTTGGTTTAAAAGCTTTCGTATGCATACGACGAAAGCGACCGAGTAAGATACCAACAGTGAACACATCAATGATGAGCATCTGCCAATGCTTGCGGCTAGTGGCTGCACAACTGGTTTATGCGAGGTGCTGGCGGGTCGGCAGATTCGAACTGCACGAGACTTAACTGCATCTATGGGGTTTCCGATGTGTCCGCCCGGTTTTCGAGCGCAAGGGGATTTAGAGTAGGGAGCGCAGGCTGTGTTGGAATGACTCGCATGCCCTCACCACAGGGAATGCAACCAGCACAGGTGTCGAGCTTGCAAGAGGCTAGAGCAGCCACTGTAGGAGCTTTTCCCGTGGTGAGTTGTCGTCCTGGCCCGTGCTGCAAGGGGGGCAGTTGGGATGCTACTGTCATTGCAAACTTAGGATACTCTACTAAGCATCTTGCGGTTTTCGGGGGGAAAGCACACGGCATACTGGCCATGTTAGTTGCATCTCTCTGTGTGTGTGTGCTGGGCTTAGGGTGGTCGCGCCGGTGAGTGTATTCTGGCCTTAAGGTAGAATGTGCGCCATTTTGTTGTGGCAACATCCATCATTACGTAGTGGTGCTGATCGAAGCAAAGGCATGAAGGTCACCGTGGTCTGAACTTCTGAATTGCAGCCTTACAAGCTTCAGCTTCAGTTATAGTTTCAGAAACCCCTGGGCCATATCCAAATTATGTTTAGGGGCGGCGATGCGAAATTCGGCGACCCTCCATTTGTATCTACAAGCGAAGCGAAGCTCCAGCAATCCAGCTTCCTCAGGAAAGGCTGAAAAGATCAACAGCAAGATCGACCCTGAATCGCAACTTGCTAAGCGCACCAGGATTGATGGCATAATGGGCACGTTGTTCAATTGTGCGAGATGTGGCGTCCTTGTTGTTGGCGGAGGAGGTAAGACCGCACACGGGTCTGTTCAGTGGGCCCGTTGCTGTCTGAGTGGCATTGGACCAAGGCCGAAGGTTGTGACGAAGGAGGAGCCGGGTAGTAGGGTGGCGGGGGGGTAAGCCGCATGACATGCAAGATGCTACAAGTGACAGCACGTGAACAGGTCAGGTACCTGTGCCTCAAACCCACGAACAACGTCAACCCTCAATGCATGCAAGATGCGGCAAGAGAATGAGGTTCTCTGTACATGGAGCAGGAGTTAAAGCCCGGAATGGACGTGTGTGTTGTCCTGGACATGTCCGGGCTTCGGGTTTTCAGCTTTGGGTCGGGCTCCGGATCTTACGACTTGCTTGGGCACCAACCAAGTTGGCAGAGACGGTACGGCATGGGTTCAGAGCACAGTGAAGCCTGGACGAGGACCTGAAAGAAGGGGACAAGCGGGTCTATTGCCGCTGCTGGCTCTCCGGCACCTTCCCGCTCTGCGAGCCTCAACAGCATGTAGTCTGCATACTGCAACCTAATTGTGCTCCTTCGCAGCGCCATGCTGCAGGCTCAACTAAAGCCGCAAATCACGTGAGTTCGTGCAAGTGCGCATTTAGAAAATGCATCCGTGCTCTCGTGCGAAAGCGTCAGTTTCGAAAAATCGAGCCCACCAGAAAGCCCGCGGCGAGCGAGGATGGAGCCCATGCCAAGCACAACGAGGCGACCGGAGACAATGCACCTTCGCTGTTCGGAGCAATGCTTTTTTGTTGTATTTGTACATGGGATGGAGAGTTTGTTCATGTTCCGGCCTCGCTGTCATACTTAGGGTGTAAGGCTGTAAGGTAGACCCTCTTGAAGGATTCTGCAAGGAAAGTCTCAGGGATTGGGAATACGATTCCTGTATGGCAAATCCATCATTGTGGTTCAGGCTACCGTCTGTACTCAGTAGGGCATCTTGTTTTGTTTCGAAGGCGTTCTAGTCTTTAAGGTACCGTGACCTAGATTCATTTCCAAACCTTCAATGCCCCAGCCTTGCTTTGGTCTGGATCTCTGTGCCTTCTAGTGACTGGCTCTGTTCGAAGTTTTCTTCGGTTGTATACAGAGGCACATATGCAGGTTTGCAGACCTTGTCAGCAGCACTTCTAGAAGAGATGGCTATTGTGTTTGACATCCCTCATTCTCAACATGATCAAGCTGAACAATACTTCAGAAGAAGAATATGTTGATGATCATGAGTTGCTGTTGCTGTCAAGCACAAAAGTGCCAGTATTCCGAAGCCTACCAAAGCTGCACCGCCACCATGACGGCAACAGTAACAACAACTTCCTTCCCACTATTTCCCGCTGCCTCTACAACCGACCACTACCAGTACCACGACTACTACGACGACCGTGACGACGACGACTACTACGGCGACGAGGACCTCCACCACTACCACTGCTACGGTTGATGATGTAAATCCTGCATTACCCACTATAAGGAATGTACCATAATTCCCATACTGTAGCTTAGGGTCCTTAAGGTAATGCAGGATTTATATCATCAACAGCAACACTCTGCCGCCCCACCATCGTCAACAGCACGACTTTTACGATGATGATGATGATGATGGTGATGGTGATGATGGTGATGGTGATGGCGATGGCGATGATTGTGGTGATGGTGATGTTGATGATGATGACTTAGACGACTGTTACCACAAGTGCGACGACGGCGGCGACTGCTGAGTTCCTGCGACACAGTACTGCGGCTGTGGCTGTCCGCACGAACCACCGACGACCAACGCTATAGCTTGTTTACTGGTTGCGGTTTGCAGTTTTTGACGAGCTGAGACGAGGTTGGCCCCCTCATTGTGGGAGTCAAGAAGAGCGGATGAGGCCAGCCTGGTCTTTGCGCTGTATGGGTGATTTTCGGATTGGTCTATAGCTCGGCATACTTGGGTGTAGCAAGGCTGAACAAGGGTTTAGAAGAAGTTGTGGGTCTTGTCATCATGTACATGCATGGCTTGGGGCTCGGAATCCTCAGGGAGCCTTTTGTGCAGCTTTGTCTTGAGGGCGCCTATCACACTGGAAGTAAATGTAAGAATACGTCATTTGTGGGCACATGCTGACAAGAAGTTGTCATCCAGGCTGTCATGGAAAAAGAACACTTACTTGAGGTGTAGATGTTATGCGAGAGCTTTCGCTCTGCATGGCTTGGTGCTGGCAAGGCATGTGCAGGGGGTGGGCCCTGTAGCATTCCATTGCAACGGATGTCGGCGGATTCACTTATTGAGACTGGTTTCAGCAGTAATTTTTTGCTTGCAACACGGAAGATACAAGCCATTTGCCAGAAGCTGTGCCCCCCCAAGCTGTGCCAAAGGAACCGCTCGCACATCGTATCTGAACGCGGCATTTTAACATCCCTGAAGACATGCGCAATTGACGGCTATGTTTGTGTCGAAGGTGCTGTCCAGGTCCTCTCCTCTCAGATGCCTGCTTTCTGAGCTGAGTTGCTATAGTGTTTCTGCCCCGCATGCAGCGGGAGGCTACCTAGACCCATGCTCTTCGATGGAAAAATCGCAGATTCGACAGGTTGCAGATGCTTGGTTTTGGAATGTGTGTGTGTGTGTGCACGTTGAGATGAGAGCTGTTTGCAGTTGGCACACCTGAGATCCGAGCCGAGTTGTGGCATTTTGTGGATCAAGACGACTTCTTGCAGTCAAGTGAGGCACAGACGAGACTATATGTGAATCGCCCAAGGTAACCTTGGGCGGTTCACCAATAGTCTCGTCTGTGCCTCAGTTGACTGAAGGACACGATTGCTCGTGTGAT